CTTCACTGCTTTCAGTAACCTACCTCCTACACCATACACCTGCAACATCTGCCACATTGCCCCCCTATCCACCCTGTCATATGCCTTTTCCAAATCCATAAATGCCACAAAGACCTCTTTAGCCTTATCTAAATACTGTTCACTTATATGTTTCACTGTTGCCAACAAATACGTATATTAAAATCTTAAGATACTTTATCAAAGTCAACTTGATAAAGTATCTAAAGTATCACAAACTTAAAATATCACTTTACAGTGGTGAGATGTGTACGGTGTATTAAGAACAGATAGAGCATGACTTAACCCTTTCACCGTCTCCCAAGTACGTACAGTGGTACCTCGGGATACGAACAGCTCAAAATGCGAACAATTATGTAAGTGTATTTATGTAAGTGCACTTGTAAGTGTATTTTTGGGGGTCTGAAATGTATTAATATAATTTACATTATTCCTTATGGGAACAAATTCGTTCTGTATCAGCATTCGAACAGCCTTCTATAATGAATTAAGTTCGTATCCCGAGATACCACTGTATGTCCACATTATTGTCACTCATATACAGTGGACCCCCGGTTAACGATTTTAATCCGTGCAAGAGGGCTCATCGTTATGCGAAATAATCGTTATGCGAATGAATTTTCCCCATAAGAAATAATGGAAATAAAATTAATCCGTGCAAGACGCCCAAAAGTATGAAAAAAAATTTTTTTTACCACATGAAATGTTAATTTTAATACACACAAACTGAAAAAGGCATGCACAATTAAATGACACTTACTTTTATTGAAGATCTGGTGATGATTGATGGGATGGGAGGAGGGGAGAGAGTGTGTTAGTGTTTAGAAGGGGAATCCCCTTCCATTAGGACTTGAGGTAGTAAGTCCTTTTCTGGGGTTACTTCCCTTCTTCTTTTAATGCCACTAGGGCCAGCTTCAGAGTCACTGGACTTCTTTCGCACAAGATATCTGTCCATAGTGGCCTGTACCTCTCGTTCCTTTATGACTTGCCTAAAGTGTTTCACAACATTGTCAGTGTAATAATCACCAGCACGGCTTGCAATAGCTGTGTGAGGGTGATTTTCATCCATGAAGGTTTGCACTTCAAGCCACTTTGCACAGATTTCCTTAATCTTTGAAGTAGGCAACTTCTTCAATTTCTCTCTCCCCTCCTCCGAAGCAATTTCCTCAGGTGTGGCCTCTTGCTGTTGAAGTTGATCTATCAGCTCATCAGTGGTTATTCTTCATGTCCTCCTCCACCAACTCTTCCACATCCTCCCCACTAACCTCCAACCCCAAGGACTTTCCAATGCCACAATGGATTCCTCAACTGGCACAGGATTCTCAGGGTTAGCCTCAAACCCTTCAAAATCCCTTTTGTCTACACATTCTGGCCACAGTTTCTTCCAAGCAGAGTTCAAGGTCCTCTTTGTCACTTCCTCCCAAGCCTTACCTATAAGGTTTACACAATTGAGGATATTAAAGTGATCTCTCCAAAACTCTCTTAGAGTCAGTTGAGTTTCTGAGGTCATTACAAAGCACCTTTCAAACAGAGCTTTTGTGTACAGTTTCTTGAAGTTGGAAATAACCTGCTGGTCCATGGGCTGCAGGAGAGGAGTGGTATTAGGAGGCAAAAACTTCACCTTAATGAAGCTCATGTCCCCATAAAGTCGCTCTGCCACGTCTGTAGGATGACCAGGGGCATTGTCTAACACCAGGAGGCACTTAAGTTCTAATTTCTTTTCAGTTAGGTAATTTTTCACATTGGGGGCAAATGCATGGTGTAACCAGTTATAGAAAAATTCCCTAGTGACCCATGCCTTACTGTTTGCCCTCCACAGCACACACAAATTATCCTTGAGGACATTCTTTTGCCTGAACGCTCTGGGAGTTTCAGAGTGATACACTAATAAAGGCTTCACTTTGCAATCACCACTAGCATTGGCACACATCAACAAAGTAAGCCTGTCTTTCATAGGCTTATGTCCTGGGAGTGCCTTTTCCTCCTGAGTAATGTAGGTCCTGCTTGGCATTTTCTTCCAGAACAGGCCTGTTTCATCACAATTGAACACTTGTTCAGGTTTCAGTCCTTCAGTTTCTATGTACTCCTTGAATTCCTGCACATATTTTTCAGCCGCTTTGTGGTCCGAACTGGCAGCCTCACCATGCCTTATCACACTATGGATGCCACTACGCTTCTTAAATCTCTCAAACCAACCTTTGCTGGCCTTAAATTCACTCACATCATCACTAGTTGCAGGCATTTTTTTAATTAAATCGTCATGCAACTTCCTAGCCTTTTCACATATGATCGCTTGAGAGACGCTATCTCCTGCTATCTGTTTTTCATTTATCCACACCAATAAGAGTCTCTCAACATCTTCCATCAATTGCGATCTTTGTTTCGAAAACACAGTTGAACCTTTGGCAAGAACAGCTTCCTTGATTGTCTTTCTGGTGCCCACAATAGTAGCGATGGTTGATTGGGGTTTCTTGTACAGCTTGACTAGGTCGGCTATACGCACTCCACTTTCATACTTATCAATTATCTCTTTCTTCATCTCTATAGTAAATTCTTACCCTTTGAGGTGTAGGGTTGGCACTAGAAGCTTTCTTGGGGCCCATGGTCACTTATTTTCCAGAAACAGCACCGAAAATACTGTAATAATACGAAATATTCCGAGTGTATGCTTGGATGTTACCGCGGAGGCTGGCTGGTAAACAATGGGACGGAGCGGCACATGTGAGGCTGGCTGAGGGCACATTGGACGCGTCTCGGACGAAAATCGGTATGCGGGTTTTTAATCGGTATGCGGGGCAAAAATTTTGCGATAAAAGTAATCGTTATGCGGAAAAATCGCTATGCGATGCCATCGTTATGCGGGGGTCCACTGTAGTAAGTTTATGCCGGTACATGTACAGTTACACAAACTATCATACAGAGTAACATATGCTTAATCCTTTCAGGGTCGAGAGGCCCTCTCCTAAACTCATTCTCAGGGTCAAAATTTTTTTGAAAAAAAAAAAAAAAAAATCTTATGAAATGATAGAGAATCTTTTCCCGATCATAATGACACCAAAAGTATGAAATCTGATGGAAAATTTAAGGAATTATGCTCTCGCAAAGTTAGTGGTCTCGACGATGTTTACGCATCGGCGATTTCACCCACTTTGAGCCCTATTTTTGGCCAATTCCTGTATACTAGTCGACAAAAACCATATTTATTTTGCTAGAACTCCATTTTTTCTATCAAATGAGTACAAGAAACCACCCATTTACCAATTTCAACTATCCAATAAAGTGGTTAGAAATTGGCAATTTTGAAAATTTCACACAAATTTCAGAAGATGCCAATTTCCAAATAGGGTCCAGAATAAACAAGACAGGCATTCCTGGCACTAAAATAACAAGTTCTCTGTTCGTTAATCATGTCCCCAGGCCCCTCTTATATTTCTTTTGCTTTCTACTTTGAATTTTTATTCTCACAAAAAATAAAAGATTTGTTATGCAGACTACTGCATTAGTGTAGAAATGGCATAAATAATATCAGCTCACTTGTGAAAGAATATCAGATTCACAACTTGACGTGTATTGAACGCTTGGCATGATTTGTTTACTTTTGAACTTTGGTAAAAATCAAACATTTCTGCTACTTTGAGCTCAATTTCAAGGTACTTTTCATTGTGAAACCAATCAAAATCATCTCAATTTCTGTAATATGTCTTCCATTCTATAAAATGAGACCAGGAAAACTAGAATACAATCATAAATACCATATGAGAATACAGTGCAAATTTGCTGTTTTAATCCAAAAACACGGTCAAATTTTTTTTTTTTTCTCATTACACACTGTGTGCTGCAGGATTTTTTTTATACTGCGCACACTGACCACACGGACCCATTCTTTCATATGTAGGCCTACCAGCTTTCTCTCGCTAGATCTGAAGGTGCTAGAATTTAGGCGTTCTAGTACGTCAATAACCCTGGTGCGTAAGCCGTACTAGTACATCGAAAACCCTGAAAGGGTTAACAATCTGCAAACAGTAACATATGTGTAAATAACCTAGGATAACTCAAAAAAGTAAGCCAAAGTGATTTATATCCATTGGGATCCTTGAGCTACATCTTAGGCACAGTGTCCTCAAATATGTTGAATGGTAAATTTTGGTCTAGATGTGAGAAAACAGGTCTGTGAGATGGGCATGCACAGCATAAAAAATCTTGCTGCATGCAGTGCATGATGCATAAAGCAAGCCTCTGACCCTGTGTTTGGTTTAAAATAAAGAGACTCTGAAGTGTTCTCAAGGGTGGTTTCTATGGTTTCATTGGTTGTTTCTTTGTATTGATAGAATCGAACACATATTAGTGAAAGAGATTATCAGTTTCAGAGTGGAAGTAACTTCAAATAGGCCTCAAAGTGGCAGAAATATTAATTTTTTTTTTTTTTCTGAGGAAAAAATCACACTGGTTGTCTCCCACTGAGGTAGGGTGACCTGAAAAAGAAACACTTTCACCATCATTCACACTATCGCTGTCTTGCCAGAGTAGCACAGATGATAGTTTAGATGTCACTCCACATAGAAAATATCCCAAACCCCTCCTTTAGAGTGCAGGCACTGTACTTCCCACCTCCAAGACTCAAGTCCAGCTAACTGGTTTCTCCGAATCCCTTCACAAAAAGTTACCCTGCTTAAACTCCAACAGCTCGTCAGGTCCCAAACTATTTGCCTCCACTCACTCCTATCTAGCACTCTCACACACACCTGTCAGATGTCCAAACCCCCTAGCATACAAAAGTTGTGAATACATAAATTAAAAAAAATTGAGTCAATCTACATACAAAGAAATACAGTGGACCGCCGCATAACGATTACCTCCGAATGCGACCAATTATGTAAGTGTATTTATGTAAGTGCGTTTGTACGTGTATGTTTGGGGGTCTGAAATGGACTAATCTACATCACAATATTTCTTATGGGAACAAATTCGGTCAGTATTGGCACCTGAACATACTTCTGGAGTGAAAAAATATCGTTAACCGGGGGTCCACTGTATATAGCATGGCTTGGCTCCTGAAGATGTAGCAACATTTCCTTGGGGCAATGTTTATTCACTTTGCAGAGAGTGCATGTTATCATGTGCTCCCCATGAATGACATCCACATACAGATAAGAAGCTCCTGTAATAATGGAAAATAAATTTTCTGAGTTAGAAATCAAGAAAAAGTAAAACCCCATTAACTGTGTATATCAAATCTCCATTTCATGTTGTTAAGTTATAAAGCTCCACAGCAATATACAATTTTTTACTCAATATTATAGACAGTGGAGTGATTATTTTAATTATATTAATAGGGAAAACAATGCTCATAAGGGTCACACTATGCCTGAAGTGACAGTGATACTGGAGGTGATACACGATACCACAAAAGAGTGGAAAACAACTACAGTGGGGAACTTTACTGAAATGTCATCCGCAGAAAAGACTTCATCAGTCAATGATAATGCCTGACTAAGGAAATCTGATTGATGAAGCCTGACTAAGGAAATCTGATTGATGAAGCCTGACTAAGGAAATCTGATTGATGAAGCCTGACTGAAGAATCCTGATTGATGAAGCCTGACTGAAGAAACCTGACTGATGAAGCCTGACTGAAGAAACCTGACTGATGAAGCCTGACTGAAGAAACCTGACTGATGAAGCCTGACTGAAGAAACCTGACTGATGAAGCCTGACAGAAGAAACCTGACTGATGAAGCCTGACTGATGAAGCCTGACTGAAGAAACCTGACTGATGAAGCCTGACTGAAGAAACCTGACTGATGAAGCCTGACTGAAGAAACCTGACTGATGAAGCCTGACTGAAGAAACCTGACTGATGAAGCCTGACTGAAGAAACCTGACTGATGAAGCCTGACTGAAGAAACCTGACTGATGAAGCCTGACTGAAGAAACCTGACTGATGAAGCCTGACTGAAGAAACCTGACTGATGAAGCCTGACTGAAGAAACCTGACTGATGAAGCCTGACTGAAGAAACCTGACTGATGAAGCCTGACTGAAGAAACCTGATTGATGAAGCCTGACTGAAGAAACCTGACTGATGAAGCCTGACTGAAGAAACCTGACTGATGAAGCCTGACTGAAGAAACCTGACTGATGAAGCCTGACTGATGAAGCCTGACTGAAGAAACCTGACTGATGAAGCCTGACTGAAGAAACCTGACTGATGAAGCCTGACTGAAGAAACCTGACTGATGAAGCCTGACTGAAGAAACCTGACTGATGAAGCCTGACTGAAGAAACCTGACTGATGAAGCCTGACTGAAGAAACCTGACTGATGAAGCCTGACTGAAGAAACCTGACTGATGAAGCCTGACTGATGAAGCCTGACTGATGAAGCCTGACTGATGAAGCCTGACTGATGAAGCCTGACTGATGAAGCCTGACTGATGAAGCCTGACTGAAGAAACCTGACTGATGAAGCCTGACTGAAGAAACCTGACTGATGAAGCCTGACTGAAGAAACCTGACTGATGAAGCCTGACTGAAGAAACCTGGCTGATGAAGCCTGACTGAAGAAACCTGACTGATGAAGCCTGACTGAAGAAACCTGACTGATGAAGCCTGACTGAAGAAACCTGACTGATGAAGCCTGACTGAAGAAACCTGACTGATGAAGCCTGACTGATGAAGCCTGACTGAAGAAACCTGACTGATGAAGCCTGACTGAAGAAACCTGATTGATGAAGCCTGACTGAAGAAACCTGACTGATGAAGCCTGACTGAAGAAACCTGACTGATGAAGCCTGACTGAAGAAACCTGACTGATGAAGCCTGACTGAAGAAACCTGACTGATGAAGCCTGACTGAAGAAACCTGACTGATGAAGCCTGACTGAAGAAACCTGACTGATGAAGCCTGACTGATGAAGCCTGACTGAAGAAACCTGACTGATGAAGCCTGACTGAAGAAACCTGACTGATGAAGCCTGACTGAAGAAACCTGACTGATGAAGCCTGACTGAAGAAACCTGACTGATGAAGCCTGACTGAAGAAACCTGACTGATGAAGCCTGACTGATGAAGCCTGACTGAAGAAACCTGACTGATGAAGCCTGACTGAAGAAACCTGATTGATGAAGCCTGACTGAAGAAACCTGACTGATGAAGCCTGACTGAAGAAACCTGACTGATGAAGCCTGACTGAAGAAACCTGACTGATGAAGCCTGACTGATGAAGCCTGACTGAAGAAACCTGACTGATGAAGCCTGACTGAAGAAACCTGACTGATGAAGCCTGACTGAAGAAACCTGACTGATGAAGCCTGACTGAAGAAACCTGACTGATGAAGCCTGACTGAAGAAACCTGACTGATGAAGCCTGACTGAAGAAACCTGACTGATGAAGCCTGACTGAAGAAACCTGACTGATGAAGCCTGACTGAAGAAACCTGACTGATGAAGCCTGACTGAAGAAACCTGACTGATGAAGCCTGACTGATGAAGCCTGACTGAAGAAACCTGACTGATGAAGCCTGACTGAAGAAACCTGACTGATGAAGCCTGACTGATGAAGCCTGACTGATGAAGCCTGACTGATGAAGCCTGACTGAAGAAACCTGACTGATGAAGCCTGACTGAAGAAACCTGACTGATGAAGCCTGACTGAAGAAACCTGACTGATGAAGCCTGACTGAAGAAACCTGACTGATGAAGCCTGACTGAAGAAACCTGACTGATGAAGCCTGACTGAAGAAACCTGACTGATGAAGCCTGACTGAAGAAACCTGACTGATGAAGCCTGACTGAAGAAACCTGACTGATGAAGCCTGACTGATGAAGCCTGACTGATGAAGCCTGACTGATGAAGCCTGACTGAAGAAACCTGACTGATGAAGCCTGACTGATGAAGCCTGACTGAAGAAACCTGACTGATGAAGCCTGACTGAAGAAACCTGACTGATGAAGCCTGACTGAAGAAACCTGACTGATGAAGCCTGACTGAAGAAACCTGACTGATGAAGCCTGACTGAAGAAACCTGACTGATGAAGCCTGACTGATGAAGCCTGACTGATGAAGCCTGACTGATGAAGCCTGACTGATGAAGCTTGTTCAACAGGCAAAATATCTCTGTAACGTTCTTCTCTACAACTGTCTTATTCACCTCTCATTGGCTTTGTGGCAGTCATCTCTGCGTTAATACTGTTTTAATGAAAACAATTTTTTTTAACTCAATGGCAGTCTCCTGTCAAGGCAGGAGAGAAGAAAACACATTAAGCAACATTCACTCAATTGTAATCTTTCCAAAAGTGTGATGGCATCACAATCAGATTACCCTCAGACTGCAACATTCCCACCCCTACTTCAGAGTGCATACTGTCCTTCCTACCTCCAGGACTCAAGTCTGGCTAACCACTTTCCCTGAATCCCTTCATAAAAGTTACCCTGTTCACACTCCAACAGCACATTCATTAAAAACCACTTTCTCCACACACTCCTATTTAACACAATCGCACAAAAATGTTGGATGCTAAAGCCCCTAAAACTCAAAATATAAGATAAATTACATCACAATCTACTTTCATAATGCATTACTCACCAACTATTGGATAATCTGAAAGGTCAATTAAATACTCGAGTGTATCATTCTGAAAGAAATTCCTCCGTTCTCCAAGGCTTTTCAACTGGGGGGAGCTCTTTTTCAAGGGCATTTGAAGAATGATACTCTTTTGCCGCATCTGGAAGAGTATAATGTTGAAAATAATTATCTTGTAATGCAATTACGTTAAATACAGTATAACAAATATTTTGTTAGGGGTGGATTTATGTCGCACTTATTGAACTGTAATACTGGCATGCCTCTGACAAGAGTGAAGGAGTGAGTGATGATAAAGGCATTTCTTCTTTTTCGATTACCCTGCCTTGGTGGGAAACAGCCAGTGTAAAAAAAAAAATAAATGACAGTAACAGAAACATCTTAAACTCAATCATAAAATTTATGAAAGAGTAAGGGAAAATTACTTCCATGCTTTTAAAATGTCCTGCAAAAAAATTTCCAAATGATAAATTAACCAGAAAATGCTATTCAATAGAGTACAGAAAAATGCAAGACCCAGCATATGAGAAACTTCAACACTGCATCTACACTGAGTGAACTGTTGTGAGGTAGTCATTAACTGTTAAGTGTTTAACCTCTTCGTAATCTCTTCCAGGTTTCTATTTTGTCAGACCTCACTTTACTTGGAGTATACTTGGAGGGTGTTTCGGGGGTCAACACCCCTGCAGCCCGGTCCATGACCAGGCCTCACGGTGTTGACATGTACTTGGCTCTGTGAAGACCTGTTTGCGCGCTCTCTAGAATTGAAGCAAGATGCCCTCCATCGAGCAACTTTACCAACAGCTTAAGGAAGAATTGAGGTTGGCGAATATGGAAATTCGGCGACTGACCAAGGAAAACAAAAAGATTCGTAGTAGTCCTCCTGTTTTGAGTCCTCAGGTCAAGAAGGGAAACTGGTCAGTGGCTGGACAGCAGGGAAAGAAGTTGACGATCAAGAAGACGAATGGAAAGGTAGAAACGATGAAGAAGAAAGAGACTGCCGTGGAAACTGTTGTGGAAACATCTAATACATTCTCAGTACTACCCGACGAATGTGAGTCGACTACTGGGAACGTCACGACGAACGACACCAAGGAAGGTACGAATATTGTTGTTGTTGGGGATAGCCAAGTAAGGTATATGGATAGGGCGTTCTGCTTGAAGGACAGGAGTAGGAGACAGAGAGTTTGCTTTCCTGGGGCTGGGATGGAGGATATTGTTAGCTGTCTGGATGACATCATGAGAGGTAATGGGAGTAATCCTATTATCTGTCTCAGTGCTGGAGGCAACGATGTTGGCAGACGTAGGAGTGAAGACCTGATTAGCAGGTATAGGTCAGCAATAGAAATAATTAGGAGTAAGGGTGGGAACCCTCTCATATGTGGTATTTTGCCAAGGAGGGGAGTTGGAAATGAATGGTTGTCCAGGGCAATTGGTGTCAATTGCTGGCTGGACAAATACTGTAAGGAAAATGCGGTAACATTCATTGACAACTGGGACCTCTTCTATGGCAGAAATGACATGTATGCCAGGGATGGAGTTCACTTATCTAGGTGTGGGGTGGGAGCACTGGCAACTGCAGTGGAGGGAGCAGTTAGGACTTTAAAACTAGAGTAGTTAGTGGTATGGGTTTTGGTAGGAAAACAGTGAAGTCCCAGTGTAGTAATATTACGAGTTCTAGGGGAACTAGTAATAATAAGAACGAGGTAGATATTGAAAAGCCAGGACCTTGGGTGATAAGGACAGTAATAGGTTAGTAGAAAAATAGAAATGAGCAGGAAGGGTAAAGAGAAAGGAGAGTCTTTCAATGTTTATTATGCTAATTGCCGTAGTGCTAGGAATAAGATGGACAAGTTGAGATTAGTTGCTAGTGCAGGTAACATTGATGTATTTGCCTTAACTGAGACGTGGTTTAATTCAAAAAGTCGGACATGCCTGCGGAATGTCATATTCAGGGTTTTAAATTGTTCCAAGAAGATAGAAGTATTGGGAAGGGGGGTGGGGTGGCATTGTATGTCCGAGATCGCTTGAACTGTTGCATAAAAACAGGTATTAAGTCTGAAGTAACACATACAGAGTCTGTTTGGATAGAATTTTCAGAGGGGCATGAAAAACTGATTTTAGGAGTGATATACCGTCCCCCAAACTTAGATAGGGACCAAGGGAAACTACTATGGGAGGAAATTGTTAAGGCCACAAGGCACGATAATGTAGTAATTCTAGGAGACTTTAACTTTAGTCATGTGATTGGAATTTCTTGACTGGGAATTTAGAATCATACGACTTCTTAGAAGTATTTCAGGATTGTTTTTTGAAGCAGTTTGTGACAGAACCTACAAGGGGAAATAACCTGCTTGACTTAGTTATGGCAAACAATGAATCCCTTGTTAATAATTTAGAAATTTCAGAGGAACTGGGTGCTAGCGACCACAAATCAATTACATTTAGCATTGAATGGAAGTACGATAGTAGCGATAACTCAGTAACAGTCCCAGATTTTCGCTTAGCAGATTACAATGGCTTAAAAGAACACTTATCATCTGTTGACTGGGGTAACGAAGAGAGCTATCAATATGACAGTTTTCTGAACACTATACATGCTGCTCAAAGAGCGTTTATCCCATATAAAGAAATTAGATCAAATAGAAATGACCCAAAATGGATGAATAATAGGCTCAAATATCTACTAGGGCATAAGAAAGGAATTTATAGGCGTATCAAAAGAGGTGAGGGTCATCTTATGAATCAGTATATTGACATTAAGAGGGACATTAAAAAGGGGATAAGAGAAGCTAAAAAGGACTATGAAATTAAAATTGCTAGGGATTCTAAAACTAACCCAAAAAGTTTTTTCCAGGTCTATAGAACAAAAGTTAGAGATAAGATAGGTCCCCTTAAAAATAACTATGAGCACCTTACTGACAAAGAGAATGAAATGTGCTTGATTTTAAATAATTATTTTCTCTCAGTTTTTACACAGGAAGACACTAACAATATTCCAGTAATTAATTTTTACAGTGGGCTAGAAGAAGATAAATTATGTAACATCACAGTCACTAGTGAGATGGTTGTGAAGCAGATAGACAGACTGAAGCAAAATAAGTCGCCGGGTCCTGATGAGGTTTTTTCAAGGGTTCTTAAGGAATGCAAAATGGAACTCTGTGAACCATTAACTAATATTTTTAATTTATCTCTTCAAACAGGTGTAGTGTCTGATATGGTGGAAGATGGCTAATGTAATTCCTATTTTTAAAACAGGGACAAGTCGTTACCGTCAAATTACCGCCCAATAAGCCTGACCTCAATTGTAGGCAAATTACTAGAGTCAATTATAGCTGAAATTATAAGAAGCCATCTCGATAAGCATAGCTTGATTAATGATACTCAGCATGGATTCACAAGAGGCCGGTCTTGTCTAACTAATTTATTAACTTTCTTCAGTAAAGCTTTTGAGGCTGTTGACCACAATAAAGAATTTGATATTATTTACTTAGATTTTAGTAAGGCTTTTGATAGAGTTCCACACCATAGACTGTTAAAGAAAGTGGCAGCTCATGGCATTGGGGGAAAAGTGCTCTCGTGGATCGAGTCATGGCTCACTGACAGGAAGCAGAGAGTGTCCATAAATGGGTTAAATCCGAGTGGGGATCTGTAACAAGTGGCGTTCCACAGGGATCAGTCTTGGGCCCGTTGTTGTTTATAATATATATCAATGATCTTGATGAAGGAATTACTAGTGATATGAGTAAATTCGCCGATGACACAAAGATAGGTAGGATAATTGATTCAAACGTAGATGTTATGGAACTTCAGGAGGATTTAAACAAACTCTATTCTTGGTCAGAAAAGTGGCAGATGCAGTTCAATGTAGATAAATGCAAGGTTCTGAAGCTTGGGAGTGCCCATAACCCTAGTACTTATAAGTTAAATGATGTAGAACTTAGCCATACAGATTGCGAAAAGGACTTGGGGGTTATGGTGAGCAGCAACCTTAAACCAAGACAGCAATGCCTAAGCGTACGTAATAAGGCAAATAGATTACTGGGATTTATATCAAGAAGTGTAAGCAACAGAAGTCCAGAGGTCATACTGCAGCTTTATACATCATTAGTAAGGCCTCACCTAGATTATGCAGCTCAGTTTTTGGTCTCCGTATTACAAAATGGACATAAATTCGTTAGAAACATTTAGCGTAGGATGACTAAATTAATACATAGCATTAGAAATCTTCCTTATGAAGAAAGATTGAAGACTCTTAAGTTACATTCACTTGTTAGACGAAGAATGAGGGAGACCTGATCGAAGTGTATAAGTGGAAGATAGGTATTAATAAAGGGGATATTAATAAGGTCTTGAGGATGTCTCTCCAAGAGAGAACCCGCAGTAATGGATTTAAATTAGATAAGTTTAGATTTAGAAAGGACATAGGAAAGTATTGGTTTGGAAATAGGGTAGTAGATGAGTGGAACAGTCTACCTAGTTGGGTTATTGAGGCTGGGACTTTGGGTAGTTTCAAATCTAGGTTGGATAAGTACATGAGTGGGAGGGGTTGGATTTGAGTGGGACTTTCACATCAGAGCTTATTTCTTGGGTGGCATTGAAAATTGGGTTGGGCAAATGTTTGTTAGTGGGATGAATTGTAAAGGACCTGCCTAGTATGGGCCAGCAGGCCTCCTGCAGCGTTCCTCCTTTCTTATGTTCTTATGTTCTTATGGATCAGGACCTGATCAGCCAGGCTGTTACCTTTATGTTACCGCTTTACCTTTATTACCAACTACCCAGGTCTCTCTGTTACCAGCTGCCCTGGTTCTATGTTACATTTTGTTTTTATAGATAATAACCTGCCTTGGTGGGAGACGGCCGACTTGTTGAAAAAACCTTCTACGGGGTAACCTTGATACTGGTGAAGGGCTCATGATCCAAGGAAATGGAATTCCCTTTCCATTCCTTGAATCAAACCTAATTACCTTTCATTCCCCAAACACTGTATAGCTCCTACAGATAAAGCTCTTCCCTCCATGAACATAACAGACTGGCCATCTACTGAGGCAGGGCAACTCCCAAAAAGAAAAAGAAACACTTTCCCCATCATTCACACTATCACTGTCTTTGCAGAGGCATGCAGATATGACAGTTTAGATGTCACTCCAAACAGCAAATATCCCAAGCCCCCCTCCTCCGGGACTCAAGTCTGGCTGCCTGGAGTTTACCTGGAGAGAGTTCCGGGGGTCAACGCCCCCGCAGCCCGGTCTGTGACCAGACCTCCTGGTGGATCAGAGTCTGATCAACCAGGCTGTTACTGCTGGCTGCACGCAAACCAACGTACGAGCCACGCCCGGCTGGTCAGGAACCGACTTTAGGTGCTTGTCCAGTGCCAGTTTTGAAGACTGCCGGGGGTCTGTTGGTAATCCCCCTTATGTATGCTGGAGGCAGTTGAACAGTCTCGGGCCCCTGACACTTATTGTAGGTCTCTTAACGTGCTAGGACCCCCCTGTTTTTCATTGGGGGATGTTGAAATTGCCCTGCCAAGTTTTTTGCTTTCGTAGTGAGTGATTTTCTTTGTGCAAGTTCGGTACTAGTCCCTCTGGGATTTTCCAGGTGTATAAAATTTTATGTATCTCTCCCGCCTGCATTCCAGCGAATACAGGAACCTCAAGCACTCCCAGTAATTGAGGTGTTTTATCTCCGTTATGCACGCCGTGAAGGTTCTCTGTACATTTTCTGGGTCAGCAATTTCACCTGCCTTGAAAGGTGCTGTTAGTGTGCAGCAATATTCCAGCCTAGATAGAACCAGTTTTCCCCGAATCCCTTCACAATTACCCTGTTCACATTCCAACTGCTCATGAAGTCTCAAAATCACCTACTTTTGGTACTAAAACAATGTGTTCACTTCCCATATAACATCTCAAAGTAGACTCACTCCTTATTGGTTTCCTTATTTATGTTGCCTTATTAATCTCAATCCTGACTTACATTTTCCCTATTGCAGATAAGTGGTTTCAGAGAACCGACAGGATGACGAATTAGAGACTTGTGCAACAAGTGTTTGCACAAGCAACATTTTCCTTGCTGCACTCAACAGACTTATTTCTAAAATTTTAAACATCTTTCTTACCCAACAGAGGAACCACATCTGCTTTAGTGTTTTTAAAAGCCATTAAATAAACCGGGAGAAGCTTAGCTTGAAATATATTTATGGTAGAGCATGACACATGTGGCAATGCCCTACACTAAGTTGTAATACTATTCATAAATCGTAACTCAGACCTTAAATAAAAAAATAAATAAAAGTACATATGCAATCATTTTTAAAATGTTTATAAACAGATTTATATACATTTGATTTACATACTATTAAATATTAAGTGAAATAGGTATAAATTACAGTGGTACCTCGAGTTACGAACTTAATTCATTCCAGGAGGCTGTTCGAGTGCCGTTACCGAATGAATTTGTTCCCATAAGGAATACTGTAAATTAGATTAGTCCATTTCAGACCCCCAAAAATACACTTACGAAAATACACTTACGTAACTGTTCGAGTTGGGAGCTGTTCGAAACTCGAGGTACCACTGTATATTATTATTTTTTTTTATTAACACACTGGCCGATTCCCACCAAGGCAGGGTGGCCTGAAAAAGAAAAACTTTCACCATCATTCACTCCATCACTGTCTTGCCAGAAGGGTGCTTTACACTACAGTTTTTAAACTGCAACATTAACACCCCTCCTTCAGAATAATGAGGAGAAAAAGTGGTGGAGCACCTGGAGAGGAAAGGCTTCATAAACAATTGGCATAGATTAAGTAATGTTAAATCCTCTCTCAAAAATCTGCTCGAGTTCCTGTGTACCTCTGTAACAGAGGTACACCAGGACACACCCATACATTAATAACACAGACTAGTCAAAAGGATATTAAGATATGGATATGGAGACAAATGGTTTTTATGACTTTATGTGCTGTTGGAGTGTGAACAATGTAACATTTATGAAGGGATTCAGGGAAACTGGTTAGCTGGACTTGAGTCCTGGATGGGTAGAGTACAGTGCCTGCACTATGTAGATTAGATTTAGATTTTGCCACCGAGGTGGCTAGTTTATTGTGCAGTAGCAAGGGTGTTATGCTGCAGTTCTCTAATTGTAGTGTAAGCATGCCTGTGGCAAGACAGTGATGGAGTGAATGATGATGAAGGTGTTCCCTCTTTTTCGAATCACCCTGCTACTGTGGGTAACAGCCGATGTGTTAATTAAAAAATATTTACTGTCACAGAGTGGTCAGGAAATGAAATGAACTGGACAAGAAGCTGCATAGGCAGGATCCATACACAGGTTTAAGAATAGGTATGATAAAACTCACAGAGTACTGGCCAGTCTGAGAAGCAGAACCAGCATCTGAAACTCAACCCCTGCAGTCACAAATAGTGTAGTGAACATTAATACATACGAACCAATGATTAATATTAACCTTGCAATACACTTTAAGACGTATTTTGAGCTGATAATGGTCCTTCTGAGCTGTGTACTCACTTTCAGGCTTCAGGTTGAATTTAGCATCTATAAATAAAACAATTACATGTATAAAATACTTTCTTTACAAATTAAACAGAACTTCCCTGACATATTTACTACCAACACACAAAAAAAATTGGACAAGGTCATTTTAATGTTGAGATAAATAAGAAAACAAACCATATATTCCTGTAAAAGGCTTAAACAGCATAAGAGCAAACTTACAATATGAAATTTGGTAAATTATGAATTAATACACTAGTTATGAAAATAAAATTAATTAAAATGCATTTTTTTTATTATGCTGACATTCAATACATAAAAAACTTGTTTTAGGCCCTTTTACTAGGGTTAAAATTTAAACCCCTAACAAAGGGACTAAAAATAACTGTGTATATACACTAAGACACTCCTCTTCTCAGTGTATTTATACATACCCTGGTTCTTCACAGCATATTATGTAATAGTTATGATAATTAACTTCAATATAACATAAAACATTTTAATGTTAGGAGGGAGGATTAGAACTCACTGTAACCAGGTCTCCCTGGAGCCTGCTCAGGTCTTCGTGAAGCTTGGTTAGGTCTTCTTGGAGCCTGCTCAGAGCTTCCTGAAGCTTGGTTAGGTCTTCCTAGAGCCTGCTCAGGTCTTCCTGAAGCTTGGCCAGGTCTACCTGAAACCTGCTCAGGTCTTCCTACAGCTTGGCCAGGTCTACCTGGATCCTGCTCAGGTCTTCCTAAAGCTTGGCCAGGTCTACATGGATCCTGCTCAGGTCTTCCTAAAGCTTGCCCAGGTCTACCTGGATCCTGCTCAGGTCTTCCTGAAGCTTGGCTAGGTCTACCTTGAGCATGACCAGGTCCAACTAGAGCCTGACTAAATCTCCCTGGAGCCTGGCCAGGTCTACTTGAAGACTGACTAGACCTCCAAGGAACCTAACCAGGTCTACTAGGAACCTAACGGGGGCTCCTTGGTGCCAGACCAGCACATATGAAACTACCAGCTATTATAAAATTTACTTGTATATTGAAGGTGGAATATGAGTGTCATTTTGCCCTTGATGTACCAAAAAAGTAGGAATCTAGTGTACATTAGGCCCTCAATATGTAAGGAATTCAACCCCTCAAAAGTACAGTGGACCCCCGGTTAACGATATTTTTTCACTCCAGAAGTATGTTCAGGTGCCAGTACTGACCGAATTTGTTCCCATAAGAAATATTGTGAAGTAGATTAGTCCATTTCAGACCCCCAAACATACACGTACAAACGCACTTACATAAATACACTTACATAATTGGTCACATTTGGAGGTAATCGTTATGCGGGGGTCCACTGTATTATTGAACTCATGCTTAAAAATTTGGTCTTGACTCCTCAACCTATACTTGTGCACATGTGATATGCACTGATATACACACCTCTTGATATACAAGAGAACATAACCTTTGAATAAATTTAGAGGATACTGAATGCTGGAAATTTTCACAAGACAACCTCTCGAGAAGGAAGTTTGCAGGGGGTAAAAAAAAAAACATCAGAAATATTAAAAGCACAGTGCTTTACTCTAAATAATTCACAATACATTACATTTGTTAAGTAGTATAACTATGTTCAGACTAGCAAGCAGTATATGACACATTTATATTTTTTTTAACATATCAGCCATTTCCTATTACATAATAGGTGGCCCGGTGGCCTGGTGGCTAAAGCTCCCGCTTCACACACGGAGGGCCCGGGTTCGATTCCCGGCGGGTGGAAACATTTCGACACGTTTCCTTACACCTGGTGTCCTGTTCACCTAGCTGCAAATAGGTACCTGGGTGTTAGTCGACTGGTGTGGGTCGCATCCTGGGGGACAAGATTAAGGACCCCAATGGAAATAAGTTAGACAGTCCTCGATGACGCACTGACTTTCTTGGGTTATCCTGGGTGGCTAACCCTCCGGGGTTAAAAATCCGAATGAAATCTTATCTTATCTTATCTTATCTTGCATGGTAAGCCCCCCCTTTCCCCCCCAAAAAAAATGTAAATGTGTTCACTTTCACTATAACTCGTGCAACACGTTATCAGTCGTACCTAGTATCTGCTGGAAAATATGTAGGTTGAAGTGATCCTCCCAGAAGTCACGTTTATGAAAACAACGTTGGTAATATTCCTCCAGGTTCCCTGTCTGCAGAGAAATAAATGAATGATTTTAATATTTTTATGTTATTTCCTTAATCCTACTGGTACGGATGTTATTAATGAACTACAGGATGAGATGACATATTAGAGATGGCATATTAGTGACAAGTATGACAACAGATACTCAGATTGGAGAGAAGCACTGAATTTCAGTGTAAGATGTGATAAGACTATATACTGTACTGGTTACAGGCATGAATAAAAATGTTATATGCAAAGAATTATATAAAATAACCTAGATAATCTTTATTGAGCTTCTCTACATTGATGGTAACTTATGTAGTTAACCTGAGATAGTCTAAAAAAAAAAAGGTCAATGATAGGACATAATTTCAATGCAACAGCAGTAGGTGTCCCATGGCTTAGTTGGCAGCAGACTGGGCTCATATACTGAGTGTCCATAGTTTGATTCCCAGCACAAGAGGAAAACCTGAGCATGTTTCCTTACACCTCCTGCCCCTCTTTACCTAGCAGTTGGTGGGTACCTAGGTGTTAGTTGACTGTTGTGAGTCACATTCCAGGTGGTATGTGGTATGAGGGTCTGGGTTTGATTACTGGCAAAGGGTGGAAAAAGTGAGTGTGTTTCCTTACACCATGTTCATCCATCAGTAAAAATGGGTACCTGAATGTTAGTCGACTGGTATGGGTCGCATCCTGGGACAAAATTGACCTAATTTGCTCAAAATGCTCTGCATAACAAGCAGCTTTCTATACAGGAGTATGTCACTGATGTCAGCAAGGCTTGTATACCTTGTACATGTACTTGTAGAAATAAAGATCTTATATTATTATTATTATAGACAGGGCCAGGGCTTTGAATGAAGTAGATGGAGTAGAAATACAGCTCTTAGCTTGTAAAGTTGATGTGTAAAAAAAGCATATTTCATATTAGTTGTAAATTAATAATATTTCTGTAACCTAAACAGACCCCTAGCTGTCTTCAAGAGGAAGCTGGACAGGCACCTAAAGTCAGTACCTGACCAGCTGGGCTGTGGTTCGTACATTAGTTTGCATGCAGCCAGTAGTAACTGCCTTGATCCACTGCAAGGCCAGGTCATGCACTGGGCCATGGGGGTGCTGACCCTGGAAAATCCTCCAGGTATACTCCAGGTTATTAAGATTACACTTAACAAGAGAATCATTTGTAGGGTGCAAGGCTGCATACCTATGATTACATGCTCAGTCAAAAATTATCCCATTTTAAAATTGTTATATAATATATACATAACACACTGAATCAACACATGTGCAGCAACAGAATTTCTAAACTAGAAAGGCTCAAATTAAGCCGAGTCCCTTCAGTTGCGAGCCATGTGCTCACTTGTTAGCTGACTCAGCTCTCACACTGTAGCACTGGGGTTTAATCCTTGGAGGAGTGGAAATGATAGGCAAGTTTCTTACACTTACTGCCACTGTTCACCTAGCAGTAAGTTGGTACCTGGATGTTCACTGATTGAAATAGGCTACATCCTGGGGAAGAGGATTAAAAGACCTCAGTGGAAATAAGAGACAATTCTGATGACATGACTTTACAGGGTAACTAACCTTCCAGATTAATAATCTGAACAAAATCTTCTTCTACCATTGAGATATAACTTACTTTTGAGCCATGTGTGAAGACCCTAACCTTACATAGATGAACATCATCATTCCTACTAAATGAGCGATGGCAAATGATACCTGAAGTATACATGGAGTGTTCTGGGGGGTCAATGTCCCTGCAGCCAAGTCCATGACCAGGCCTCACAGTGGATCAGGGCCTGATTAACCAGGCTGTTACTGCTGGCCACATACAAACCGACTATGATAGGTAAATCATCATCGTAATAATAATAATAATTATATATCTTTATTTCTACAAGTACATGTACATGGTATACAGCCCATAGCTGACGTCAAAGACATACTTCTATATAGAAAGCCGCTTGTTATGCAGAGCATTTCGGGCAAATTAGGTCAGTGTCCCAGGATGCGACCCACATCAGTCAACTAACACCCAGGTACCCATTTTACTGATGGGGAACATAGACAACAGTAAAGAAACACGCCCAACGTTTCTACTCTTGCCAGGAATCAAACCCGGACTCTCGCCATGTGAAGTGAAAGCTTTTGTTCTGTAAAGCCATACAGAAACTTATTGAATAAAACTGATTTTATCTTTTCCTTATGGAATTCCTTTCTGGGACACTCCCTCAAAATAACCATCAACCAATAACAAGTAGAAAACGCTGTGCATTATTCTTAACATTAAAGGAATAAAAGAACAGTTAACCCATCCTTGTTAAGTTTATGTACCTTCTTGAAAATAAATTTTATTATCATTATTAATAGTAGAAGTAGTAAACCAGTGTAAAATAAGGATGGAAGTACGTAAGTTTATTCAGGTATACACAAATACAGTTACACAGATTATCATACACAGCAGCATATGTGTAAAGAACCTGGGATAACCCAAAAATGTCAGAGTGACTTATTTCCATTGGGGTCCTTTTTAATACCTTAGGTGTCCCATAGCTTGATCGTTAGCGCACTCAGCTCACACACTGAGGTCTGGGGTTCGAATCTCCTCCTTTACGGCTGGAAAACATTAGGGACGTGTTTCCATAAGACACCTGCTGACCCTATCCCCGTTCACCCACCAGTTTAATATGGGTACCTGGGTGTTAGTCGACTGTTGTGGGTCGCATCCTGGGACAAAACTGACCTAATTTGCACGAAATGCTCAGCACAACAAGCGGCTTTCTGTATAGTAGTATGTCATTGATGTCAGCTAGGCCTGTATACCTTGTACATGTACTTGTAGTAAATAAAGATATTATTATTATTATTATTATACTATAAAGAAGATAATCTTATTATCATACTATAAAGGAGACATAGTAGGAATAAGGTAAAATAAGTTATTTATATTTACATGTGTGTTCCTAACTCTGTACATATCTATAAATGGAGAAAAATTTTCACTGCATTTTTTAGTAATTTTTTATTAATTAACTTTAATTACTCTAATGTTAATTCCAAAAACAAGGGTTAATACTCACGTTATCAAGTTTTGGATAGGCAAAACTGAAAAAAAATATAAATGAATATATTATTATTTTGTTCAAGGGCAAAAGAGAAAAATTAATACACGGTATCTATAGTAAAGTAAACAGTAGTGAATATTTTACAGTATGTACTGTGTAATTGTGAAGTATCCCCAGAGTTCTCCCACATGTGATAAAGTATCCCCAGAGTTCTCCCACATGTGATAAAGTATCCCCAGAGTTCTCCCACATGTGATAAAGTATCCCCAGAGTTCTCCCACATGTGATAAAGTATCCCCAGAGTTCTCCCACATGTGATAAAGTATCCCCAGAGTTCTCCCACATGTGATAAAGTATCCCCAGAGTTCTCCCACACATGATAAAGTATCCCCAGAGTTCCCCCACACATGATAAAGTATCCCCAGAGTTCTCCCACATATGATAAAGTATCCCCAGAGTTCCCCCACACATGATAAAGTATCCCAAGAGTTCCCCCACACATGATAAAGTATCCCCAGAGTTCCCCCACACATGATAAAGTATCCCCAGAGTTCTCCCACATATGATAAAGTATCCCCAGAGTTCCCCCACACATGATAAAGTATCCCCAGAGTTCTCCCACATATGATAAAGTATCCCCAGAGTTCCCCCACACATGATAAAGTATCTCCAGAGTTCCCCCACACATGATAAAGTATCCCCAGAGTTCTCCCACACATGATAAAGTATCCCCAGAGTTCTCCCACACATGAAGTATCCCCAGAGTTCTCCCACACATGAAGTATCCCCAGTTCTCCCACACAGGAAGTATCCCCAGAGTTCTCCCACACATGAAGTATCCCCAGAGTTCTCCCACACAGGAAGTATCCCCAGAGTTCTCCCACACATGTTGAAGTATCCAAAGAGTTCTCCCACACATGATAAAGTATCCCCAGAGTTCTCCCACACATGTTGAAGTATCCAAAGAGTTCTCCCACACAGGAAGTATCCCCAGAGTTCTCCCGCACATGAAGTATCCCCAGATTTCTCCCACACAGGAAGTATCCCCAGAGTTCTCCCACACGTGATAAAGTATCCCCAGAATTCTCCCACACGTGATAAAGTATCCCCAGAATTCTCCCACACATGAAGTATCCCCAGATTTCTCCCACACAGGAAGTATCCCCAGAGTTCTCCCACACGTGATAAAGTATCCCCAGAGTTCTCCCACACATGAAGTATCCCCAGAATTCTCCCACACATGAAGTATCCCCAGAGTTCCCCAACACATGATGAAGTATCCCCAGCCAGCGTGCAGCCAGCAGTAACAGCCTGGTTGATCAGGCTCTGATCCACCAGGAGGCCTGGTCACAGACCGGGCCGCGGGGGCGTTGACCCCCGGAACTCTCTCCAGGTAAACACATGATAAAGTATCCCCAGAGTTCCCCCACACATGATAAAGTATCCCCAGAGTTCCCCCACACATGATAATGTATCTCCAGAGTTCCCCCACACATGATAAAATATCCCCAGAGTTCCCTCACACATGATAAAGTATCCCCAGAGTTCCCCACACATGATAAAGTATCCCCAGAGTTCCCCCACACATGATAAAGTATCCCCAGAGTTCCCCACACATGATAAAGTATCCCCAAAGTTCTCCCACACGTACATTGGTTTGCGTGCAGCCAGCAGTAACAGCCTGGTTGATCAGGCTCTGATCCACCAGGAGGCCTGGTCACAGACCGGGCCGCGGGGGCGTTGACCCCCGGAACTCTCTCCAGGTAAACACATGATAAAGTATCCCCAGAGTTCCCCCACACATGATAAAGTATCCCCAGAGTTCCCCCACACATGATAAAGTATCCCCAGAGTTCCCCCACACATGATAAAGTATCCCCAGAGTTCCCCCACACATGATAAAGTATCCCCAGAGTTCCCCCACACATAATAAAGTATCTCCAGAGTTCCCCCACACATGATAAAGTATCTCCAGAGTTCCCCACACATGATAAAGTATCCCCAGCGTTCCCCCACACATGATAAAGTATCTCCAGAGTTCCCCACACATGATAAAGTATCCCCAGAGTTCCCCCACACATGATAATGTATCTCCAGAGTTCCCCCACACATGATAAAGTATCCCCAGAGTTCCCCCACACATGATAAAGTATCCCCAGAGTTCCCCACACAGATAAAGTATCCCCAGAGTTCCCCCACACATGATAGTATCCCCAGAGTTCCCCCACACATGATAAAGTATCCCCAGAGTTCCCCCACACATGATAAAGTATCTCCAGAGTTCCCCACACATGATAAAGTATCCCCAGAGTTCCCCCACACATGATAATGTATCTCCAGAGTTCCCCCACACATGATAAAGTATCCCCAGAGTTCCCCACACATGATAAAGTATCCCCAGAGTTCCCCCACACATGATAAAGTATCCCCAGAGTTCCCCCACACATGATAAAGTATCCCCAGAGTTCCCCCACTCATGATAAAGTATCCCAGTTCCCCACACATGATAAAGTATCCCCAGAGTTCCCCCACACATGATAAAGTATCCCCAGAGTTCTCCCACTCATGATAAAGTATCCCCAGTTCCCCACACATGATAAAGTATCCCCAGAGTTCCCCCACACATGATAAAGTATCCCCAGAGTTCCCCCACACATGATAAAGTATCTCCAGAGTTCCCCCACACATGATAAAGTAATACTTACTCCTCCCAGTCAATCAGGTCACCATATTTAGCATATATTGAAGCAGTTTGCTGGATGTTAGACCACATGGCTGCTCCTCCTCGGTGTCTGAAACTTGGTCAAGATGACTTCAAATACACTTTTACCAGGGAAAACCTTTATTATATGACGTCTCACCCACTGTGGGAGCTTCATTAAGTCTCGATAAAGGCCCACTGTGGGCGAAACGTCGTACAATGGAGGTTTTTCATGTTAAAAGTGAGTAAGTGTTGTGTGTACCTGTTGGAGTCTAGTCCGGCCACTGTTGCCAGATCCAAGACTGAGAGGTTAAGTAGCGATGATGGTACCTGAAAGTAGCGTAACTGTAGGTAGCTGGGCTGATAGGTCGTACGTAGCTAGGTTGGTAGGTACGTACGTAGGCAGGATGTTAGGTAAGGTAGGAGAGGTTAGGTAAGAGTAGGTTAGGTTAGGTAAGGGCAGGTAGGTTAGGTAAGAGTAGGTAGGTAGGTTAGGCAAGGGTAGGTAGGTAGGTTAGGCAATGGTAGGTAGGTAGGTTAGGTAAGAGTAGGTAGGTAGGTTAGGCAAGGGTAGGTAGGTAGGTTAGGCAATGGTAGGTAGGTAGGTTAGGTAAGAGTAGGTAGGTAGGTTAGGCAAGGGTAGGTAGGTAAGGTTAGGCAATGGTAGGTTAGGTAAGAGTAGGTAGGTAGGTTAGGCAAGGGTAGGTAGGTAGGTTAGGCAATGTAGGTAGGTAGGTTAGGTAAGAGTAGGTAGGTAGGTTAGGCAAGGGTAGGTAGGTAGGTTAGGTAAGAGTAGGTAGGTAGGTAGGTTAGACAAGGGTAGGTAGGTTAGGCAAGGGTAGGTAGGTAGCTTAAGCAAGGGTAGGTAGGAAGCTTAGACAAGGGTAGGTAGGTAGCTTAGGCAAGGGTAGGTAGGTTAGGCAAGGGTAGGTAGGTAGGTTAGGCAAGGGTAGGTAGCTAGGTTAGGCAAGGGTAGGTAGGTAGGTTAGGCAAGGATAGGTAGGTAGCTTAGGCAAGGGTAGGTAGATAGCTTAGGCAAGGGTAGGTAGGTAGGTTAGGTAAGGGTAGGTAGGTAGCTTAGGCAAGGGTAGGTAGGTTAGGCAAGGATACCTGGAGTTTACCTGGAGAGAGTTTCGGGGGTCAACGCCCCCGCGGCCCGGTCTGTGACCAGGCCTCCTGGTGGATCAGCGCCTGATCAACCAGGCTGTTGCTGCTGGCTGCACGCAAACCAACGTACGAGCCACAGCCCGGCTGATCAGGAACTGACTTTAGGTGCTTGTCCAGTGCCAGCTTGAAGACTGCCAGGGGTCTGTTGGTAATCCCCCTTATGTGTGCTGGGAGGCAGTTGAACAGGTAGGTAGGTAGCTTAGGCAAGGGTAGGTAGGAAGCTTAGACAAGGGTAGGTAGGTAGCTTAGGCAAGGGTAGGTAGGTTAGGCAAGGGTAGGTAGGTAGGTTAGGCAAGGGTAGGTAGCTAGGTTAGGCAAGGGTAGGTAGGTAGGTTAGGCAAGGATAGGTAGGTAGGTTAGGCAAGGGTAGGTAGGTAGCTTAGGCAAGGGTAGGTAGGTAGCTTAGGCAAGGGTAGGTAGGTAGCTTAGGCAAGGGTAGGTAGGTAGGTAGGTTTAGGCAAGGGTAGGTAGCTAGGTTAGGTAAAGATAGGTAGGTAGGCTAGGTAAGGGTAGGTAGGTAGCTCAGGTAAGGGTAGGTAGGTAAGCTAGGTTAGGTAAGTATAATAATATATATATATATATATATATATATATATATATATATATATATATATATATATATATATATATATATATATATATATATATATATATATGGCGGAAACGCTCAGGCATGTACGTGTCTCTCTTTGTGCTTAATAATATTTTATAACATGTAAATCACACATTGTATACTGTGCAGAGAAATAAAAAAAATGAATGTTTGTACTTACCTAATTGTAGCTGCAGGGTAAATTCCCCGCTCCGGGTCCCCGTGTATAAATAAACTTACCAACAGTCATGAAGTTATTAGCCAGGGTTTTTCCCTTTCCAAATTTTTTTAAAAACAAAAAAAGGCCCCCCTTTCCCTTAATCATTTACAACTTAGTAATAAGTTTATTCAGGAATACACAAATACAGTTACATAAAAAATTACAAACAACAGCATATTTTTAGAGAACCGGGGTTAACCCTTTGGGAAAACCCCAAAAAAAGTCAGACACAGTGACTTATTTCCTTTGGGGGCCCTTTTTAAACCTTTATTATTAAAATATAAAGGTATAATATTTTTTTTATTATTCTATAATGAAAATAAAAACCTTATTTTTCATACTAAAAAAAAAACCTACTACACCAAGGTCATTAAACTATCTACAATACAGGGTCATTACTGGGGAAAAAGGGAAAAAATTAAAACAAATTTTGGGGCCTAAAAAATAAAAAATTAAATTCCCCTCCCTTTCTGTAGCAAATTCATGGGACACCTTTTGCACTTTCTTGAACTGTTCATGCATCCCCTGGCTTTGACATGTGCGGGAAATCTTTTTTCCTTTCCTTTAAATTGCTGTACAATAAAGGTGTTTGAACCCCCTGGCCACTCTCGGGTAAAAAGTTTGCTCTCTCCCCCTAGTACTATGTTTTGCTTTGGCCCCAAAACCTTACAAAATTGGCAGCAAAAATTTTCGGGACATTGTTTTGTGAGAAATTTTTATAAACATGATTTAGTTTTCATTTTTTTAAACCTCTGTCCTTTAAACTTTTCAGCATATCCAACTGCGTAATTCATCCTGGCCTACATTTTTCCCCCTTGGCCCCCACCCCAAAATGAATTTTAAACGATTTTTTTTTTCTGGGTGATTTGCAGTCTACCTTTCATTTTTTTTTTGGGAAAGGGGCAGGGGGGTACCAAGAAGAGCAAGCGAAACCCATAGGGGAAATTTTTAAAAAAGGGCTAGACTTTGGGGTCCTGCGGGGCCCTAAATGGTAACACTGTGCTTGCCCATAAAGGAACTTCATCGGGCATTCGCTTTTTTACTACACTGTTTCCCTATAAATTTCCCTCCTGAAAAAGCAGGGGTTAAAGGGGGGAAACCCCAATTTTTAAAAACGTAAACCAAAGTGATGGGCTCCCCATTACACTGGGCTTAAAATTATTTACCCCCCTTCTTTTAATGTTTCGTGCCAAAGAGAAGGGCCCTTCAGTTTTCCCGGGTGTAATGATATTTTTGTTTTTTCCCCAAAAACCCTTTTGCTGCGGGAAACCCAAAGTTCCATTTTAAAAAAATTTAGTATATCTTGTGGGCCCTTTCCCTGACACAACGGGGAAACTGTCATCTGCATCCCAGGGGATTTTTGAAACTTGACACGTAGGCATTCTTTGACAAAACCCATAAGAAATAAAAAGGGGCCCCCAAATACTCCCTTTGGGGGAAACCCCCAAAAGCATCGGCGGGGTTTTCTGATTCCTTTTTGTTGTTTTTGACAATTTGTCCTCCGGGTTGCTAAGGTATGACTTAAAAAACCAGTCTACAGAACCAAAAACCGATAGCTTGAAGTTTCTTACTAATATATTGTGGTTGACATATCAAAGGGCCTTTTGCAAGTCAAAAGGTTTTCCCATACCTTTTAGGTTCCCCTTTGACATTTCAGTTCTCGGGAAAATCCGCCCAATTTTAATTAGGGAGGTGCCCGGTTAAGAAAAGACCCTTCAAAAGCCCGATTGATAGCTTTGGGAGAATGTTTTTTTGTCTTTAAGGGTATTTTAACCTATTTGGAGTACCCCGCCCTCTCTAAAATTTTTGGATATTATACTGAGTATAAAAACGGGCCTATTTTTTGCTAACATAGCCCCTACTTTTTTTTTCCTTGAAGATGGGATAACCCTGGCCCCCCTTTGGAACCCCCCGGTACGGTATTATTTGGTTTAAATTGATAGTTAAATTATTAGAAAATGGGGGATTGACAGTTTCGGGAAAAACCAAAATTTTTTAGGAACTTAAAAGGGGAAGTTACCCGGGGCCAGGCTCTTAGGGGGTTTTAAAACCTGCTTAGTTTTTTTTTGAATAAAGTCATAATACATTTTACTAGTTGACAACTTTTAAAATTTCAAAAAAGGGGGCCCGTGGCCTGGGGCTAAAGCTCCCCTTAAACACACGGGGGGCCCGGGGTTTTCAAATTTCCGCGGGGGAAAATTTTCCGACACGTTCCCTTACACCTTTTTGTCCTGTTCACCTAGCACAAATAGGACCTGGGTTAGTCGACGGGGTTTGGGTTTTGCATCCTGGGGGACAAGTTTAAAGGGCCCCCAAAGGGGAAATAAGTTAGAAGCCCCTCGATGACGAAACTGACTTTTTTGGGGTTTTACCCTGGGGTTGGCTAACCCCCCGGGGGTTTAAAAATCCGAACAAAAATTTTAAATCTTTAAAATCTTTTTCTTATCCTACCTAAATTTATCGATATGAATATTTTTAGACCTATCTACTGGCTTATGGCTATCCCCCAAACCCTGTTTTAGTTGTTGCCAAAGTTTTTTCCCGGGGGTTTCCTGCTTATACTCTTAAATTTTTTTGACCAATAGTGCTTTCCCTTTTGCCCTTTTTTAAAAGTCTCTGACTCTCTCCCAAAACCCTTTTGGGAAATTCATTTATGCTGAAAATATCCGCCCTGTTTGCTTTAAATTTTTTTAGCAGTTGGTCCCCTTAATTTCATTTTTCCCTAAAAACTCAGTATTCACCCGGGGTTCATTTTTTCGTTTAATCCAAACCCTTTTTAACTGGAGCAATTTTAAAACAAGGATGGTAGTAAAACATTTTTTTTGGAATTTTTCCCAGGCACTTTTTACGTCCGTGCAACTTGTATCTCTGTCCACACAATTTTTATTCTATTTACCAGTTTTCTTTACTGTAGTTTTTTAGTTTACCTCATTTTTTTTTGTCCTGGGTAGGCCCATCATAAACCTAGTGATTTTTTCCCGGGGGCAGTAAAAAGATGAAAAAGGGGCACTAAACCTGGGTAATGACCCTACTGACTAATTTCTCAGCGCGGGTTTCAAAATAAGTGGGGCCCAAATTTGGGTGCCCCGAGAACTGTGGATCCGGGTTGGTGTATTAATTAGTTTTAGTGAAAAAATTTAAACCTAAAAATTTTTTTTTTTTTTTAAACCTTTTTTTTTTTTTTTCATAGCCCGTTATTTTTCCCGCTGAAAAAAAATATTGAAGTCGGGCCCCCCATTAAATTTTCCCGCGATTGTTTTCCCAAACCGGACAATACTCTGGAAAAGTCTTCTAAGAACTTTGTGTCTAACT